TTTTTTTTACGATTAAATTTATTTGATAAAAAGATTAATTTTTTCAATCATCTTGAAAATATTCTCATTCCATTTATTGACTATTTTAAAAGAAAAAAACAAATTTCATTTTTATTAATTTTATTTATTTTTTTTATTTTTATTTTTTATTTTTTTTGCAGATTATTTGGCCTTGCTATAGGTTTGGCATCATTTTTCAATATTTTGCTACCATTTGCATTCCATGCAAATAATGATACTTTAATTGCAATGATTCAAATACTACAAGGACTTGTACAAGTATGTGTTTTTTTTCCCACAATTGTCACATTCATCCTGTCATTCTAAGTTTTTTTTTTTTTATTGAATTTTTCTTTTAAAACAAAAATTTCAATTAGTATAAAAATGTATTTTAGTTAATTTTTTATTAAACAACTTTTAATTTGCTATAAATCCTAACAAAAATGTAAATAAATTAATGCTAACATTTATAATTTACAAAGAAAAAAAAAAGAAAACCGATTTTCGGAAATTGAAAAATTATATAGAATTGAATTTTAGGGTATATCATATCCTGCAATGCATGGTGTATGGCGCTATTGGGCACCACCATTAGAGCGTTCAAAATTAGCAACAACAGCATTTACAGGTTCTTATGCTGGGGCGGTAATTGGTTTACCAGCATCTGCTTGGCTTGTTAGTTATATACATTGGTCTGCACCATTTTATGTGTATGGTTCGTTTTCGTTCCATTGTAAATTATCTAATTAAATTTTAAAATGAATAAGATAATTTGAATAAATTTTAAAATCCATTTACCTATACTTTCGATTTATACCTATACCTACACTTATACCTATACAACTATACATATATTCCATTCCAAGACAAAAAAAAATTAATCAAATTGAAATGAACCATATCCTAAAAAATTATCTTTCTATATACATATCAACCTATACCTATACTTTCGATTCATAATCTATACCTATACCTCTATCTGTACATTTACTTATACTTTTCCGATTTTTATTTATAATGTAGGTTTTGCTGGTGTTATATGGGCGGTATTTTGGTTTACATTAACATTTGAAAGTCCAACATTTCATCCAACAATTTCGATGGAAGAGAAAAAATATATCTTGGAAACAATTGGACCAGTATCCACAACTCATCCAACAGTAAGTAGGCTATTTTGGTATTGTTTCCCTTGTAATGATATTATAAAAATGTTTAAAATGAAATCTAAAAAAAAAAAAAAAAAAATTGTTAAAATTTCTTCAAGTATTTAGCTTGCATCAATACCATGGAAGGCAATATTACAATCAAAACCTGTCTATGCAATAATTGTTGCAAATTTTGCACGAAGTTGGACATTTTACCTTTTGCTGCAAAATCAACTTACCTATATGCGAGAAGTGCTAAATATGGCAATTAATAATGTATGCATTTTCATTCATTTAAATGGCCAAATGTTTGTAATATTTTTTATTTAAATGTAATATTTAAAAATAGAAGTCATTGATCAATATGTCCAAGCAATAAACATCAACGATCAGTTCGAGCAAAAAAAAGATCAATGATTAACTCAAGCAATAAAGATCATCGATAAATTCAAGCGATAAAGATTATCGATCATACCCTGATCAAACAAAAAGATCGACGATCAATACAAGCAATAAAAATCAACAATCAAATCCATGCAACAAAGATCATCGATCAATTCAAGCAATAAAGATCAACGACCAATTCAAGCAATAAAGATCATTGATCAATTCAAGCAATAAAGATCATCGATCAATCCAAGCAACAAAGATCAACGATCAGTTCAAGCAACGAAGATTATCGATCAATTTAAGCAATAAAGATCATCGATCAAACTCAAGTGTATCTTATGAAAAGAATGGATTGTTTTGAAAATTTAGACTAATTTTATCGTATTTACATTTATCAGCTGTGATTGCAGAGCGGTTTAATAGCCGCTTTACCGCATGCAGTAATGGGTTTAGCAGTACTTGGTGGTGGACAATTAGCCGATTATTTGCGCTCTCATCAAATTCTCAGTACAACAGCAGTACGAAAACTTTTCAATTGCGGTGGTAAGTGTTGACGAAAAAAAAAAAACCTCTCATCTAATCACTACTATTACAAAGTACTAATTAGGCTAATTAATCTCAATCATATTTGCGCCATTCATTTTATCATTTGTATCATTTCATCACACAAATTATTCTCATTCATTTTTTCAATACATTCAAATATTATAGGTTTTGGTGGTGAAGCTTTATTCATGCTTGTTGTCGCATATACTAAAAGTGACATAACTGCTGTATTCGCATTAATACTTGCTGTTGGCAGTAGCGGATTTGCAATTTCAGGTTTTGTTAAAATAAAAAAGAAAGAAAATTAAATTTAATTATTTCACCTAATTTAAAATATGTCGACATTTTTTTTTTTTTTCATATCTTTCAAAAGAAAAAAACCCTATTCATTTTAAATATATCCTGATCCAAATTTTGTTGCAATCCTTTACTTTTGAAAAATTGCAATATCTCCTAGGAAAAGAAAATGGAAATTGCAATCTTTCAGGAAAAAAAAAATGGGAATTGCAATATCTCTCAGGAAAA